AACAGAAGCTTAATAGTTGCTTACTCTGTAGTTTTGTCAATCCCTTTCTAAATACTTTGCATTATCAGATCAGGGCAGATGTAAATTTAATTGAAAAGGAGGACCTGCATAGCTGCTACCACCTAATGGGCCAGTGAAGTGTGCAGACAGAGTTCTTGCATTTCTGACTGCAAAAGTAGGTGGAGATAAAGGTTTTGACATCCTAAGGAACATGCACATTGGTTCTGTTGAGCAGGTATGAGCTGTCTTTCTCCAGCATCTGTGGTCTATCAGCATGCTCTATTGCAGGACCACAAAGAACCTGACACCTTCTGGGGAATGTCAGTGTCCATGTTTCTCTACAGAAACACCCATGTGCCATAATCCAGGGGCTCAGGGGGGGCATCCTCAGCCAATTGGTTCTATGACTCTGACTGGACAGTTAAATTCCTAGACATCATAGAGGAAAGCAGTGAATTGGGAGCAATATCGTGGGCAGAGCAAAACCGCCGGATACTAAGCAAAAGCTGTGTTCATTTCTAGTCTATAATTTATCTTGCTTATTTCCATGTGATATCAAAGGTGATATTCAGATAGTTTTAATAGATAATTAAGGAAATGGCCTAAGTGTACCAGAACCTGATGTATTGTCAAGCAAATTGCCTTACTAGTCATTATTTTTGCATCCTTTGCTATCTTCTTCCATGCAGTGCTGGAACATTTATTTCCACTAAGAAATTCAATTTTACTATAATCAAAATAATGTGCTTGTCCACTTTGGTGCTCAAAGCAATTGGGAAGAAAGCCTAAAACTTCATTATTTCCTTGATTCATTTGAATAAAGTCAAAAAGCATTATTTTAATGAAGTGGAAATATGCTTTCTGACTTGGATTTTGGTTTGAATATTGTAGGGAAATGTGTGGCTTAAGTAGGTATGCTGGATCAAATGCTAAGTGCATTACCATATTTTACATAAGGATAAGGATTTAGAGAGTTGCTTGAAAAACTTGATAGGATGATTTTCTAATGTTTAAGGCATTCAAAATCAAAATGCTTCTGAAAGAAGCATTCTTGATGCCACCAAGAATTCTTTTCAGAAAATTTACAATGATGTTGTAATGTTTCATTTTTATATATCTGCATTGAGACATTTAACAGTCTTCATTTACAAATCGTGCATCTGATTTGTATTGTTTTTGTATCCTTAATAATACAGTAGCATTTCTTAAACTGTGTTAAAAATAAAATATCCAAAGTCAGTGAGCATTTTGTTTAGCTATGAGTTTTTTCAGGTTCTGTTCAGCATAAAAAAACCACTCATATTAGCACCTTTTTTGTATATTTTTACCCTGTTCTGTTCTATTTTCTGTCTCACTGAATAAAAATAGCAGATATTATTGAAATGAAAATAATTCATCATTCCTAAATTAAGGTTTTTAATAAAAATAAATGTCCCATTTCAATTTTCAGAAAGTCTTTCTCTTCGCAAGAAGGGTGGGTTTTTTTGGTCTTTTATGGGTTTTCTTTTATATCTGTGATCATAACATATTTTCTGTGAAAAGAGAATTCAATTTTTTGACCAGCATAGTAACTGCTGGTAGTATATGCTGGACATATGCTTTGCAGATACATAAAAATAGCATTTTTCATTTGTTACTATTTTATTGTTTTGTCCCAAATAAGGTGTTGCCATGTCAACATCCTGTCAAGTCCAATGGCTGCAACTGGGCGCAGCATAACACACAATACATGAGGACAAGGTGTAGAAGAAGCAATTAAAATCTGCGTTATTCTGTTTTGAGGCAGCTACCCACACACTGTTATTACTGGTAACAAATGTCAGAAGCGCTTACCGCCCAGCCAGCTCAGAGATTGGTGGGTGCTCCTTGTTCTCTGTGACTGAAACTAATTTGGGATCATTGTCTGTTTTCACAGTCCTCCTTTCATTCCAGAGGGACAACAAAAAAAGCCTGCATTCAGTGGGTGCCTCCTTCTCCTGTGTGCAGGTGGTGGGCCCAGGCTGTGCTGGGGGAGCTGCCCATACGCCCTCCCATGAGGAAGTCTGCCAGAGCTGCACAAAGCACCTTGTGAGTGACTTGGGGGAAGAAATCTTTCTGGAATAACTTGAAACACTGCTTGCCTTCCTTAATTTTGTATAGAAAGCTCACGCTTCCTCAGATACCTTTCCTAGCACTGAAAACTAAAACAAACCTGCTTTGCAATTTTAAACATTCTAACCTCTCAAGCCACGGCTAAAATCATAAATTTTCTGCATTCTCTCACCTGACCTGCAATATTTTCCATGGTTTGTCTTGCTTTTGGGGGTGCATTTAAAGAATTGCCTAGTCAGAGTAACCTGTTCTAATAATGTATCAGTATTATTTTGGCCCATATAATTCATTCAAAGGAAAAGAGCTCCCTCATCCTTAGTTCCTAGGAAACCTTTTCTGGTAATTCATATTGACAGCGGTGAGTTGTGACATTTATCGGTGAGGTGAAGCTGACCAGCTGCAGGGCTCCTGACTGATTTACTCAGCCAACAAGCTGCTCATGATTCCAGCCAAGTATTGACTTTTCTTTCCCTTCCCTCCCCTCTAGTTAGAAAGAAAACACAGAGGCATTTTTTATCACTACTTTTTTTTAAATAGTCATATTGAAAGAGAAAATATGGACCACCTACTATATCTTCCCTCTAAAATTTAATTTCTTAATGCAGAAGTATTTTAATATGTTTCAAGGAAAGAAAATTAGCATTGAATCTAAAGAAGTTGAAATATAAAATAAACAAGTGGATTTGATCTAAGATTATTGGAATCACTTACTTCAATAGCAATGAGCTTCAGTCTCATAAACAACCTGCCTGCAATCAAATGATCTTTGTGATGAAAAAGCTAAAAATTCAAACAGCTCATTTTCAGTCTTCAAGTTCAAAAGCAAAACCAGAATTTTCTGCAAGTATTCTAGGATTTTGTATTTTTAAGGCTTAGATACGAATAAAAATCAAAGATAAAGAATTTTCTGTATTTCTCTCACTCTTCAAGTCTATTCTTTTTGGACTAACATGCCTGAGCCACAATCGAACTTAAGGAAAGCATGAGTATTTCTAGAACTGACATTTTCAAGCACCAGTGAATTACTGAATCACTCATTCTTGGCACTGATACATTATATCCATAATTGTTCTGCTTGAGGAGGTGACATTTCCAGAAATGGCAGTTCAGCGTGACAAAGGACACAACACTGCTGGGAAGATAAGTGAAAGGTGACAAGACCGTGCAGCTGCCAAGGAACAGGAGCTCTTTGGTACATCAGCACTAGATGTAACCAAGTTCAAGTGTTGTAATCTTGATGAAGATTCAAGTCAACCTCCATTGCTAATGCTCTCATCTAATTTCTGTGATATGGACTGCATGGAATTAAGAAAAGCTGTTACTGAAGCCTTTAAACATGATGAAAGGCATCCAGAGTGACTGCTGAGAACAGCATAGGGAACAGGTGGGTAAAACAGGTGAGAAAAAGGGGAGAGCAAAGTGGCTCAGAAAAGAACAGTCAGAAGGGGGCTGCTGATGGATCAGGAAAAAAAGTTGTCACCATTATGAAAAGAACTGTGGGACAGATCAAGTTGCCACTGGCACAAATGCTCTCACTTTGTGATGACTGCAATTGAAATATAATTTAGTGAAGCTTCAATGTCTGTGCTAGAACTATTAAACCAGTTATTGCACTAGGGATCACTACACTCAAAGTAATCCCAAAAGTTAATCCATAGTTATTAAGCATGTGCAACTCTGTATGTTGCACCTACCATCCTGATTGCTATATAAACCCATAGAAACTAAAAGACATATGTACCTACACCCAGCCATTCTTCCTGTGTAAAGACATTATGTATGATGATGCTCATATATAAAATGCAGCTATGTTTGAAGAAAGTATTTCTACAGATGCACTTGGGAAAAGAGCACATTTCCAATCTGTACTTAGAGCAAGTCCTTTAACAAGAAAATATATTAAGTTGCCTATTTGAAGTGCTGTGGCTTCTTCAAATGTAGCTGCGAAAAACGCCTTTTGTCATTCCTCCCCAGTGCATTATGTTGTGACAAGACAGTCATGTTACATAACGTGATGGAGCTGATGCCAAATAGCATGTGAAAGGTTTGATCTCTTCCCCATTTAGTACGACTACCCTGAGCTGTGAGTGGCTGGACTTTAGAGGGTCTTTTTTCCTCTTTAAAGAGAAGGAACAAAGGAACGCTGTGTTTGAAAGTCCTTTCATAAGAGCTGCCATCAGAAATTTTGCTAATATTTTCTTTACATCTATTAGCTGGAAACCATCTTCATCTTTAAAATATGCACATTGTTTCTGGCTCCCTCTTTCCACTGCCTTATCAAGAGCAGATTTTTGTTAGGGCCTATGAAACAGGCTTTGAGAAACTTAAGCACGTAATCCTGTATGGCTCATGGCAGCACATGGTGAGGTGCATTCTGCAGTGTCAGTGACGTACTGGCTTGACCCATTTACTTCTCAGTGCTGACAGCAGCAGGAGAGAAGGAGGAAGGAGGGCACTGAGAAGTCACTAGGAGAGGGAGGGACCAGCAGGGACGTAGGAGGATGAAAAGCAGGAGTTCTTTCCATTTACCACCATGTATTTTTGAAACTGTTGCCGTTTTAGACTCCCTGAATCCAGTGTGTTGAGAAAGTTGCATCTTTTCAGAAGTATACTGAGGAATTATTCCCCCTGCTGTAGATTAATCCACCACAATGTAATCCAAAACCAGTGTAATCCAACTGCTCTTAATAGAGTGATCCCAGAGATAGCATTGGCCCATCAGAGTAACTGCTGTGGGTTAAGTGGCCTCAGAAACCATGTTAACAGGAGATTTACTGTGTAGCAAACAGTTTTTTGCAAAGAAGAGTTTGAAAAATTAAAGAAACTAGTCTTTCAGCTGAAGACTTTCAACCAATAAACCCAACCCCTCTGTCTTTCTGAAAAGCAAACCTTTACTGCATTTTACTGACCTGCATGAAGCTGTTTTCATATTGAGAGGTCAGCAGAAGCAGCTGGGACAATACTGTAGAGGAAGAAAGAAAACAGTGGAAATTAAAAAATATAAGACAAAAAATCATGAAACTTTACAGTCATATCATATTTATATTTAATAAGTGTATAAACAATGTTCTTTTGATGAATGATATTGCCCAGTATAGTGATAGTACTTGCAAAACTCTCCCTAGAGCTTAAGCAACCATTATCCAAACCATGACAATGCCTTTGATTACATGTTATACCATCAGTGACACACATTTTCAGTCACAGACTAACATGAGCAAACAGCAAACACAGCTTTTAAAAAGTAATCATCAGAGGGAAAATGAAATAACTCCAAACATTCAACTTAATGTCAAATATGTCAGTATGTCAACTTCCTAACACAATTGTTTTTAAAATGAGAGATCATGAACTGACAAGTTAATAGATAGGTGCTTTCATTATTACATTTTCCACAACTCCAGAAAGTGAGGTCATGTTTACTTTAGCTATCACCAAAGCTCAGGAGACAGACTATAGGATGATATCAAGGCCCTAAAATACACTGTTGTAGGAAGACTGAGATTATTTTCCTGGATCAATCCAAGATTTCTTTTAGAGCTATGTCCTGCTCCTGATAAAATTCAAGAGTTTATGAATCAAAAAACTGATAAGAGACATCATGGTCTACATTTCCAAGTGTTTCAGTGAGACAACATTTATAAATTCTAATTGTTCTAGGGAAGGGATCTTTGTAACACACTGTTAAAATTCGATTTTACAATTATTAGAAAGATGCTTTTGCCTGAATTAAGGGGCAAACAAGACTAAATGCTGAAGTCAATAGTATAGATTTTATTTAACAATTAATGTGAGGTAGAGAGAGATAGAAAGAAATAGAGAAAAGAGAGCAGGGAAAGAAATAGAGTGTTAGAGAGTAAGATTAAGAGAAAACAATCCACCACCCTTGGATCCAGATGGCATCCTCTTGGGTCTCTTCTGGTCTTCTGAGTAGCAGGGATCCCAAGGTCACTCAAAACTCACCATTTATACATTTTAGCAAACAAAGGGATCAATGCTCACCAGCTAACCCTTCTCTTTATCCTATCATTTAAATGATTCCCTTGCTTCCAATGCTAATCAGTCCCATGCTCAGTCTTCCTTCTCTTTTGAGCTGGGCCTCACCTTTTGAGTCAGTGAGATAATTTTCAGCACAGCTGCTGAGCTGCCTTTCCTTGTGGGTACATTCTTCTCCTCCAGTCTTGTTTAATTGTCTTAAATCTAAGACAATTGGACAATAGTACCACATTTATCTTATCTCAAGGCTTAACTCACATCCAAATTCTCGGAATCAAGGAGGCATATTCAGGCAGGGGGTGGGTAGAGGGAGCAGATCGGCAGTTGCTTTTTTGCACTGTTTGCTGCAGTGGGCAAAGTCCTTCTTTAATCTTAACAGCATTTGGGGCAATTAAATCTCTTACACATGTGCTAACAATTCTTCAGATTTTCAACAGTGTATTTGCATAGTGCAACATCTCATTTATTGCTCAGCTGTGATACTCCCACTGTACTCCTTCAGCAGTCCTGCCTGTACCTCACTCCTATCTCAGTTTACTGGTGATTCAAATGATGATGAATGCTTATGCCTGCTTTAAAGACAGGCCATCCAAAAAATGTAAGCCTCTATTCTCTTTTAGTATTCTGGGAAAAGCACATTTAGCCCTCTGGTACAACCCTTTTCAAAATGTGTTCACCATTACGTAAGTCTTACTCCCAGACTGAAGACTAGGAGCCAATGCTGGTCCTGTCTCCATGGCTTTCCAGTCTTTGGAGGATTTATTCCATTTGTCAAGGCTGTAGAGATCCATTAGTCATTCATTATCCAAGTAATATAAAGTACCTGAGCACTGAAATCAAACTGAGAATTAATGGTAATCATGAAATATAAGCATTGTCTACATAGCCTAGAAACAGAGAGAGTGAAGGTTTATCAGTTGTGGTTGTTAAGTATGTAAATGTAGTAAAATCATGCATATTCTCTGTGTGTGTTGGCTCATTCAGTAAATACAAAAATTCCCCTTTTGGACAGTGACAAATGAAAAGCTGCTTCTTGTGAAGAGAAACTGGAAAGCACCAAAACTGTTTGTAGATTCAAATGATCTACAGGTTCAAACAGGCTTGAGTCCCTAATCTCTTTGGTTGAAGATTAACTAAAGGCCAATTGGGTACCTATTTGAAAGCTGTGTATTTATTCAGAATATTAACTGAGTCTTAAGACAGGAAAAATAAAGAGTGCCTTCATTCAAAGATAATAAACCTCAGCTGTTCAATATTCATATCACTTAACAAAATTAGAATTATATAGCAGAGCTTTGACTGATTGTGAAGTGAATGAATTACATGGCCAAAATGGATTTCCAAAGCAGGACACTGGACAGGATGACTCAGTTGGAGTGTAAATATTACAAAGAGAAACAATTACATGGCAGTGTCTCCAAGACATTATAATTTATGACTTTGACACAATTAAAATCATTTCAGAGCATTCTAAGTGCAAAGAAGACCATTCAAAGCCAGTAAAGCAATAAAAATTGGCATTACAGATGGCTCGTTTGTTCTATAAGAAAGCAGCAGGTCCACAGAAAACTTTCAACATATTCTCCTGATAAGTCAAAATTTGCAGAGTTGATAACAAGGTGAAAAGGACAATCACACAAATTAGTTCTTCAAAGATGTCTTGGAAAACAGTCACCTCATTAAAACCTTTTACTTCTCGGAGACTCAAAAAATTAGTTATTCTGCAGAAAACACTCACATTTTAAAGTTATGTTTTCTAGGGCTAGAGTCATCCATGGCTTCCTACCCAATATATCACATTTAAGATGCTGAAGACCAGATTCTGGCCACACGTTTATGCAGATAACAAAGTAAATAAAGATGAGGCCTCTGAGACTACAACCTATTTTGGAGAAGGAACAAATACTCTGATGAAAATTTTGCAGAGGTGAACTCATATCGTAATGGGATTTCTATTCTCCCTGTTTTCCCAGTTTGTTACATTTCTTTTTGCTTACCTTCCCATTTATAAGACATTTGCACTTGAATTTCCATCTTAGTTTTTGTTATTGTTTTTTTTGGATCTTTCCAGCATGATTATTGGCAACCAAAGGCAAACTATAATTGCAAGGTTTGTACCACCCATGATTAAACATTCAGGTTGCATAAAGAAAAGATTCTTATGTCTGTAAGTGTATTGTTCACATTGCCATAGAAGACATCCCATATACCACACTTACCTGCCATGATGCCAGGGGAGCACTGTGTCACTCTGTTGCTCACACCTCACTTTAACTATTGAATCAGGTGCAAGGCAGGTTGCCATTTATAGTGTTTAATATGTTTCCTGTAAACGTGCAGGAAATATTTGTTTGAAGTTCTGAAGGAAGCAGAACTGATGTTCACAGAGATGCAACAAACTACTTGATGAAAGAAATCATTTTCAAGAAAGAGTCCTATGGGAGAAACAGAGCCTGTTTATTTACACAAAGATCAAAGCAACTTTCATATGAATTGATGCTAAATATTTAGTACTTGAATGACTAGTAAAGAACCCTCTAAACTTCTAAAGGAAAGAATAAAAATGGGAGATAGATCCTGATATATAAATATATATGTAGGCTCTCTGTTGGCAAAATCTTTCTTTATTATTTGCATTACAGTACTGTCTAGGGTCCAGCTTGAGATCAGACCTACTCTGTCATACTGTATATAAATACCTAGCAAAATACAGTCTTTTTTCTGACAAGCTTACCATGAAAACAGGCGAAGTTCAGGAAGGAGGACAAATTCTGATTCAATTTATGTGAATTTCCCCTATAACTTCAAAAATATGTACATCAAATAAAATTCAATAAAATTGTCATTTAATTACTCCAAACAATGGAAATTGATTAGTGTGCATGTCAGGAAAACAAAATACAAACAAAACACCCCATATACCAACTGCTCCTGATGAAAACTTTCCTTAGGTTTTCTACCTATATTCTCATTTTCTTCATCATCCAAACCAAGTTTAATTACAAAAATCATAATCAGAGCTGAGTTTTCCTTACACAACTACAGAGGATATTCAGACAGACTGCTGAAGCACAAAAAATTAGATGAAAAATGAGTAGTGCAGGAATAGGCACCCATCCACCAAAGAAAGACATCTCTATTGGTTGCCTGCAGCCTCAATCTCACCCAAAATAGCCGTCTCTAGCTGGCAGAAATCTCAGTCTCCCTCCGTAAAGGTGAATCCTGAGGTTTCGGGAGGAACGAGGAACTGTGCCAAAACTGATGAATATATCTGAGTGCCAGAATTTCTGCAGCTAGGCAGGGAGCAGGCTACAAAATAGGTCAGTGGCATATATTTCTCATAGTTCACCACCTTCTTTCCAGCCTCTAGCTGCAGATCCCTAACCCTGCAAGACCTTCCTCTAGAAACCAGCACAGTGCTAACACACATCTGTGACTCTTGGGACCATGGTTAATCTGGAGCTAGGCTAAATTCACACTTCCTCAAATCAGAAAAGCTTTTGTCCTCCTATGTGTAATGTACTACTTTCCACTGTATGGTCCTGAATAGTCCTCATTTCTGCAATACTTTTCCTAATAGGACAATAAGTGTGCTGTCACATGTGGTTTGTTCTATCTCTTGTTCTTACTACTTTCAATTAAAAATAACATATAAAGAGTAAGAAGAGTAGGGCTGTTGGCTGCGAGCAGCAAATAAAGGGGAAAATTGACAACAACCTGTAACAGACATTTATGAAAAAATCTTTTTTGTTTTCTATTCCTTCACATATTCAAAGTAGATTCTTCGAGCTGCAGTCCCTGGTATGGTGTTCATTACTCTTTCTTTCTCCTCAAAGAGGAATTATGGCTTTTTAAACTTAAACAGTGAAGATTTTTCACTCAGTGTAAAGGTTTATAATAAACATGCCATAATACAAATTAGACTACCTCAAACAAACAAACAAAAAGGGCCATTGCTTTAAATTCCTAACTATGGGAAAACAGTAAAAAAATTAAAACAAAATCTACTGTGTAGTAAGCCTTGTGGACAATTTCAGGCACTGAACTATGTTGAGCTCAGGAGAATTGACTCCCTTCTTTTCAGTGCCTAATGGAGGTCATGTGCTCCTTGGTTCTAGCAGCTACAGACGTGTGAAGTGTCTGCACTAATTCTCTGTGTGACCTCAGACAGGCTCATTTGCCTGTCGTGGCACAGCTGGTCCCTGTTGGATACTTGACCGCTTAAGTCTAAAAATGTCTGGGCCCTGAAGTTCTTTGTCATGTGCAAAAACACAAAGAATTTTCCATATCTTCCCGTGAGAGCTCAGAGCCATTGATATTAATGTCAGCCATTGATGTTATTGTCAGAAAGATTTCCTTGAAATTAATCCATTTTTCCTCTTTTCAATTTTGTCTTATTTTGTTGGATAACATTGCACTTTCTGTAACCTAATGTAAAGTTTATTTAACCAGATGTCCAGTTACAAATATTACAGCTGCTTGGAACCTTTCAAAATTTACCTCTTTTTTTTGGGTTTTTTAATAGCAGTTCATTGATACCAAAATGTTTCACAAAATTGTGTAGATTTCAACATCAGTTTTGATGGCATGCTTTTCAAGGTCATGGATGAAATCTGTAGTAACCCTAAAAGAAATATATAGACAGAAAGAAATATTAGAAAACTAATCTTTTCACTACACAAGTGCATATACCTTTTTTGGAAGAATATTTATTATCCATGTTTTGAACCCAAATAGCAATAAATTTTTAAACTGATGCAATAAAACCATATTTTCAGTTCTCAGTCAACCATTATATGTGTATGTTAGGACAGCATTATTATGTCTTCAATTTGTTTTTCATCAGAAACATATACCTAACAGGATACATTCTAATGGTCTATCTCCTCTGGGTTTAAAACAATTCAATATTTTCATTAATGACTTAAAAGGAACAGAGACAGGCTTATTAAGTTAACGGATACCATTTCCTGGGAGGAACCCAGGAATGTTAGAGGACAAGGACAGAATTCAAGATGATCTTAAAAAATCAGAGATATGGACAGAAAATATTACAAGATTTAGTAGGGGTAAAAGCATGATCCCGTATTTAGTCATGATTGATTCACTACATAAATACAGGATGAGGAATAACAGTCTATAGACAGTTTTGTGAAAAAATAAATGGAGGATTGTAAAGGGTCACAAAGTGAACATGAGTCAACAGTGTCACGCTGTTGTGAAAAAGGCAAATGCCTCAGAATCTGTACAGCAGGATGTATGAGAAAGACTGTGACTGGAAGGAAATGTGAAGTAATCCCTCTGCTTTGTTCAATGTTTTATTCAATGCTATGGCCTTAGACAGAATATTGTGTCTAGTCCTGGGCAGTATACTTCAATAAACTCATAGATCAATGAAGAGAGTCTGGAAAAAAAAAAAAAGAAAAAAAGAAAAAGATCAGAGGTTTAAAAATATGGCCTATGGGCAAAGACTAAAGGAAATGAGTAGTTTAATTCAGAGTAGAGAAGACCAAAGAATGGCATTTGCTTTAAATAACAGTAAAACAAACAAAAGGATGAGATGTTTTCTTGAAGTTCTTTTCTTGTCCTAGGATTTCATGATTCCTGGCTGCTGAAGTAAATAAGACTATAGTTCTGTGGAGCAGAGTCACCAGCCAGAAATACATAATACCTCCAAAATAAAAATAGAGGTATCTTTAAATTTCTCAAACTCTTATTATAGGAAATTGGAGAGAGAAAAGAGAGTAGCTGCATCAGAAACATACATCATCATTAAGTAGCAGCAAAGGGTCTGCGTAGTTCACTGGATAAGAACTTAAAATCTACTTCTACCCTGCCATCTATAACTTACTCCCACTCCAAAATTCATAGACTTAATCATAGAATGGTTTGGGTTGGAAAGTACCTTAAAGACCATTGTGTTCCACCTCCCTGCCATTGACAGGGACACCTTTCACTAGACCAAGTTGTCCAGAGCTCCATCCAACCAGGCATTGAGCACATCAAGAGGTGGGACATCCACCACTTCCCCACCGCTGCAAAAATGTCTTGAGATTTTTAATAATCATTTTGCAATCAAACAAAAAGTAATTCAAGGTATAGCTTCTATTCAAGTATAATAGTCAAAGAGATATATTAGATAGTACAGGAATTTAAATTTCTGTGTCTATAAAATAACCACTTTGGGGTTGTTTTTACAAGCATAAAATCAGAAGCAAATATTAGACCCCCTAAAAAAAGTCTTGAGTGACCATGTGCTGTATTTTTTAACGCAGATATCTCCATAAAATCCTTAAATCATCTCTTTATTATACTCCCCAAATGGAAAAAGTGAATTGGTAAGGAAGTTTCAGAATTAAGTACTGGGAAATGTGGTGGTAAAAATCACTGCAAAATGAGCAGTTACACAACATAGGTCCTAAATACAGTTAATTCTTACTTCTACAGTGAATACAGTTCCTGTGGATCCCAAAGGAAACAATATTCATCTTATTTCATCCTGTAGGAAGGAGCTGCCTAAAAGGAAGACTGCTGAAAACACAAAGCACTGACACAACATTTGAGATATTCTACAGAAGCAACATACAGAGACTACACCATTCATCAAGCTGTACATACCGTTCCTTTGCAAACAGGTTTTTTCCCCTGTTTTTTTTTTTTTTCCCAGCTGCCAACATGGTGAGGAAAATCACTTAGTTCAAGTCATATGAGTCCTCTGTGAAGGTACGGGACTGGACAATACTTGCTAAGGCTTCCAGAAAAAAGAGGACAATACAGACAATTCAGAACAGCAGGGAGAGCATAAAACTAGAAAATCTTGGAAGTTGTGGTTGTTTGTCTCCTCACTCAAGTAGCTACAATGAACTGAAAATGTTGTACCCAGAAAATTCCCTGAAATCTTTCCTGTTCCCAACTTCATTCCTGAAGTATGCGCACTGAGGTCCAAGTTCCTCTTTCTACTTTGTTGGTGGGACAAGGAGAGAATAGGCTTGTGTGTCACTAATGGCACAGGTGCCATTGAGACCAAGCTGAAAAGGTGTGGGGCTGTCTAAATAGGAAAACAACTCCCCAGTTCAGAAAAAAATAGGTACTGGACACTAAAGACTTTGTGACTTGATAAACAGAACATGACACCAGGTAGCAATAACAAGAAAAGAATTTTCACTTTAGGAAAAAGAATCTTATCAGCCACCCACCATGTGCTATAATTTAAAAGCTTTTGAGCAAAAAAGCACTGCTTTACTGCTAAAAGGTTTAAAATGCTGCAGTATGTAGACCAAAAAGTCTTGATTAGCTGTGGCAGATGAGTCAGCAGAGAAACAGTTCACAATGCAGTGCAGCCCTTACATTTTGACATGTATTGTTAAGAGCTCCCCAAAGTCATTCCAAAGAGGCAAAGAAAGAAGGAAAAAAAAAAAGAAAAAAGATAAAAAAAAGGAAATGGTGGCATAACGAATTCAACCTTGAAAATAACAGAAGGGAAAGGATATGAAAATGGAGGGCATAGCATCCTTCATCGTCATAGATTTTGTGGAGATTTGGGAATTAGCATACAAAATTTAGTCTTTTCTGTCACAGGGGATTCCTCAAGATGTCTATGTATTGGATTGTCCTGATGCACTCCAGGCAGAAACTTACTTTTGCAGCCAGGGAAGTAGTGTTTTAATATTATGTACTACAACACAAGCCCTTTTCTATTTTTGAGAGAAAGAAAATGTTGCATAAATACAGTAACAGATGTGCAGTAGTGCTGGATGACTACACACTGTGCATCTATCCGTGAGTATACCATCTATAAATCTAAAGAAACAAAAATAATTTGATTGAAGGGCTGGATAACACATATCCCAGAAACATGCTGGTTCTGCAACACTCATGTACAGTTAGCTGTTTCTTTCAGAACATGATGAAGTTGAGCTCCCAGAGCCGAAGTCAAGAAGGGAAAAAGGAAGACATAAAAAAGAGGTTCTGACAGTTCCAGATCCCAAGATATTTCTAGCAAGACTCAAAATTCTGTCATTAATATTCCAGGTTTCTACAGGACTGGATTCCATGAGTGTTCCAGACAATCATATGAGATTACAGTCTGGTTTAGAAGTGAGATGGTTTGCTTTAATCTCTCAAGGTCTGAAGAGTTCCTGTTAAATGTGAGAATGCAGAAGTTCTCTTGCATAATTTAGCACGACTGCATGATGGGAAACATTTTACAGTGTCCTCTTGTTGGAATTGCTACACTTCCCAGTGCAACAACCAGCTATAGAAGTGATATAGGTTCAGGATATTGGTTCAGGATATTGCAAGAAAGGGCTGCAGAACAAAAGCAGTTTCTCACTGCAGAGAAAAAGTTAAATTACAAGTCCACCCTCCTATTGGGGCTATAAAGTCAAGGGTTGAGGTAACAGTCCCACTTTCTCCTTAGACAGGGAAACATAATGTACCCACAGCTGCAGCAACATAGGGAAAAACTAATATGACAGCAAAGCTTTTCTCCCTGCCTGGATAATATCAACAACAGCTTCTGTGTCTCCACACTGAGCTATATATGCCTAAATTTTGAAAGATTACCTTCTTTTTTCTTTGTATCCTGAGCCTGAACTGAACAAATAAGTTATAAATAATTAACACTCAAGCCTATTTAAATTTCAAAGGTAGTGGAAGTCTTCCTCTCTAATTTTCTAGATTGGTACACACTGTTTTGGTTCCAAAATGTTTGTTAAATCAGTAGAGGTGGAGTTTTTTCCCTGTACTGTTTGGAATGTGATCAAAGTCTGAGAAGGTATTAGGATGAGGAAGCAGTTTCCAGAAGCACCATTTTAACCACTGTGGGTTAAGTCATGCTCTTTTTCTAGTATAAGAATCCTCTCTTTCAGTTGTTACTAATATAGTTCAAAAATTACTTAAGAATATAAATAGAAATACTGATGGATTTCACAGTTTACTGTTAAATTCCTATCATACTTTCACATCAAGAGAGGTTTCTAACCACACTGTTAAATTTTATGCAGTTCTTTACACATTATTATTTTCACTAGGCTTATATTTTACTGTCTTATAACTGTACTGCATCTAAACACAGAACCGTAGGGAGACAAGTAGATAAAAAGTGCAGATGGTGCTAAGAAAAATCTTTCAGCAGATCTTAGGCCAGACAGAACTCTGTGTGCTTTATATTGCAGCTGTGTGCAGTAACTGTAGACCATCATAATGCACAGATGGAAGTGCAAGTTTGAGGGCTGTTGAGCATGTGGATTTTCCCAGTGTGTCACAATTACAGAAACATCTGTGCTAAATAACTTCAAGCTGATCCGCAGCAAAAATTGGCAATGTTCAATAACTCTCAATATCCTCTTTTTCCCCTGTGGTGAGATGGCCTAGTGATTGCGAGTTGGACTATAGTATAAAACATGTAGCTTCATTATTTCAGGGCCTATTTAGAGATTTCTCCCATGGTATATTACCTAAAAAATCCATATGTTTTTCTTTACTTAGCTCTATAGAGCCTGAGTTTCAGAGATGCCACATGCCTGCAGCTATCATTGACTTCCATTAGAGGTGTGGATATGTAGGTTCCCTGAAAATTGAGTCCTGTGGGGATATTTTTAATTGATTTTGATTTGCACAGGGAAAGGGAACAGTCTGGGTGGCATGATCATAAGAGAACAGAAGAGAAACAGAGGCAGTTTGCCTGTAGGAAAGGATTAAAATCTATGAACACATCTGATATTTATGTTGTGCCATAAAATATAGAGAACATTCATCACTTTCTTTCTTCTAGGAGACAGTGGAGACAGTATTGCCCTGAAAAACTGTTACAGAAAAAAAAAAAAACATTCCCAAATACCCTAAGTGAGATAATTACACGATCTTCAATATATTTAGACCACAATGCAATTTAGTAAACTTCACTGTTCCTTATCTATGACTGAATTAGGACACTGTTTCTCTCCCTAGATTCTCTTGCAGCATTGGAACCCTGAGGATTTTTGGATGTAAGTGCATCACTCAAATATGACACATTACCAATTCCTCATGCACTGCCACAGAATGACTTTTCAATCCTTGTTGTCTTTAATTTGATCTAGAAAATCACCCCAAAGCAGTTACCAGATTTTTCTCACTTCCTCCCAGTAAAAGAAATAGAAGGATTTATATATTTTTTTAGCTGCAATACAATACAAAAACGTCTGCCTAATGTACATTTTTCCATGCATTGCCCAATGTCATTTGGGACTTTCCAAGTGTATAATATTGTTTCTCAGAAACTGTGATCACTCTTTAATGTAATAGACTCAGCAGTAGGATTCCTTTCCTTGTATCTAGTGTGGTTTTTTATTTTCCTCAGTTCCACCCCAATTTCTTCCAAGAATACTATTATTCAACTAAATATTTCCTTGAGTGCTTTGATGTTCAGACTCTTGAAATATTAGCAAACTAGTGACATGCATCTTATCTGACATTCAGCCAACTTAAACAGTGTTAGTTCTTTCATCTTTATAAACCAGCCTCCAGTTTTCGATAATTACTGCTACCTGGTTTTAAATTCTTCCTAGTTAATCTCTGACTCTCTATGTACTGCAGCTACTATAATATTCTAACTACCATCACATCTGAACTACAGAGGAACTATAATCTTCTTGGTTTATGATATGACTCCTCAGAGGGAACAGCCAAAATCATATTGGCTTTTTATGCAGCCTTATCTCTTTGCCAGCTCTTGCATAATTTTTTTGCACTTCAATATATATTCATTCTAGGGTGAATGCATAGCTAGCTGATGTCTGAATGTGGGTCTTCTCTTGTTCCTTTTTCAAAGATTTTAAGCTTCTAAGTAGGAACACTGTAAAAAGCAAAACCAAAAACAAACAAACAAAAGAATTCAAAAAATAAGGAAAACAGACAAAAAACCCATTCCAACATAAAGGAGAGATTGAAGGATTGAAAGAATTTATCAGTCTTTTTTCCTCCTAGTCACCCATCCATCCCCAGTGCACACCCACCTGAAATCATCCAACGGCCCCTCTCC